CCTGTCCACCCACATTGTGAAGTGAGCTTGCGTTATGCCAGTGGCGGGGTTAGTTAGTGTCCAGATGGTTGAAGATTCCTGTTTTACAGCAGAGGGCAGAAACCATACAGGGATAGCTGATGATATACTAATTGGGAAATAAAGGAAAAATCAAAACCCTTTGGTCTCAGTTTCTGTCTTGCAATTTTTATTTTAATACATGCAAAGATTCAGAATAATGTCTTGCCTAGAGGAAAATCTCTCTCTTGCTCTCTCTCTCCAGCCCTAAGATAATACAAGATTCTTCACACTTTTTGAAAGTTATTATCAAAACTACCACATTCTATATCCTGAGATGGAAAGGAAAATCAGGAATGTCTCCAGAAACTTTGGAATATCAACTCTCATTTCTAATAGAAAGAGGACAGGAATAGTAGAGGATAGATCGGGGATTAGGAATGGGGAAAGAATAAATATAAAAATAGTGGAAAAGTTGGATATGTCATAGAAAAAATATAAATGCCCCCATATGGGAGACCCTCAGAAAAATCCTGTGTATGGAGCCCAAAACCCTGATACTACTATATCCTGATGTTTCCTTCTCACATGGAATCAGCAGACTGTGACTATGTTCTTAAAGTATACAGAAAGTCTCAGGGTGGCTTTCAAAGAAATAGATTGAATATCTGTGCCAAGAAAAAATATATTTATAATACCTGAAAATTTTCCTTTATAAATTAATTGAGGAGAAAGTCATCTCTTTGAATGACCAAAATGAGGCAGAAGAAAGTAATGACAATTTCTATTTGAGGTAAGAAAATGAAAGGTCTCCATTCATACCTACCCCGTCCTGCTATAATAGTTGTCTGGTTGTGCCTGTGAAGAGACGGCTGTGTAATCAAGGCAAAACCTCAGCCAAGGGGCCCAAAACGATTCACACTATCAAAGAATCCTGCCTTCAACAGAAGACTGAAAATAATGCAAATAATAACTGGATGTTGTTTACTATTGAATTTGATGGGGAATAAAGGGATAGTGAAACTTCAGTCTGTGTGCCTTAGGAGTTCTGAAATTTCCTTCTTGAGCACTGAAATGAATCTAATACAAGTCTAGCCTTAGAGTGGAGAGTCCTCCCTAATTTTGGTAGGCTTGGAGAGTCTCTAACTCAAAGTAATGACGAACTATAAATCAGTATTTATAAATGTTTTATATAGCTATGGAAAAATACCTCCATTATTCTCAACAAATTCAGACTATTCATTCTTATGATTATCTCTGTGATTTAAGTTGTAGCCAAACTAGTGAAGACTGCTTACAATTTTCTTTCTTTTTTCCTCTTTTTCTCTTTTTGTTCAACTAGCATGAATCTTGATGGCTCTGTACAAGAACCTGAAAAGAAGGAATGTTCTCCTGTCTGTGTTGGCAAAGAAGATAACATTAAAAGATCTGGAAGAATGACAGCTGTTGTCCATGATAGAGAAGTGGTCATTTTCTACCACAAAGGAGAATATCATGCTATGGATATTCGCTGTTACCGTAAGAGTTTATTTTTCATTTGTTAAATTTTATTTATTAACCACAAAACTATCAACATTCAA